TAAGGTCCCTGTCAACACAAACCAGTCTGGGATTCTATTTCTACTCTTCCAATTCAGAGAGAAAACAAACAAACAAAACTTAAAATTTTAGAAACTTGCCTTTTTCTGGCAGTGCTGACACACACACAGAGACACACACACACAGAGACACACACACACAGAGACACACACACACAGAGACACACACACACACAGAGCGAAGGACAGCTTAAAGCAGAACCTCCAATTGCAAACTCTGCAAGAACAACCTCAAGAGCAGGAAGGAAAGGAATCACACAAATCCTTACAAAGCAAAGACAGGCTGCCCTTCTAGAATCTTGTGTAATTTTCTACTTTCCATCTTTTTAGGATGTCATTCTTCAGTGTTTATCCCTACATTAGGTATTCAAGACTTAAAAGGATTTGTCCAACAGCCTCTTTCCAGATCTCAAGGAAAGGGTGATACTAAAGGATGATTTTCATGTCATTGAGATTCATTATGTTGCTGGGAAGTGACACATTTTGTAACAAAGCATGCTAGAATGCATGATTTTATCCAACTATAGCAAGTTTGGGGTGGGGCTGGGAGAGAAATCAGTCTGATCGAATGGAAAGGAACCCTTTTCCAGGGAATTATAATAGACTTCACAAATAAAGCTTGAGAAGCAACTGCTGCTTTTCCATACATAGGAAAGTTCAAAAGAGAACTGTTTAAGTCAAATGCAGCAGTGAAACCATTTAAGTGAAAAAGAATATGCATGAGCTTCGTATCACAACCTAGATATTTCAGTGTCATAGCCATAATGGAAACACAGCCTGCTGCAAGCTGCCAAATTCTTTGATATCAGCTTCAAATCAGAAGAATGGCAAAACCCACTATGATTTTATGAAAAACAAACCCAGAAAGTCCAAGAATAGGTATAGAGCACCCCTGAAACTGATGAGAAAAACTTAAAAACACACATACATGCTGGAACAGCAATAGGCACAGGACATGAAGAAGAAAATCAAAAATCATCGGTGCTGTTGGTTTTGTTATTTAGATGAGAAAGCTGTCTGAAAAGCCACTCAAACCACCTACTACCCTTACATATAAAATACATCTTCCTTTTAAAACTGTACCTAAAAAGGCAGGGGACAGAATACGATGGGTAACCCAACCTACTGTCAAGTAAGCAGACATGAGTCTGACAATTACCTGTCATGTACTCTGAAAACAAAACTCAAAGAAAGCAGCTGGACATCTTCCAGAAGCTTAAGTTCACCTCACCAAGTGACACACATGAAGCTTTACTGCTTAACTAGCAATGCACCCACAGCCCTAAAATATTTAGTCAAAGGGTACAAACTCTTCAAGCAGACATCAGAGACAATCTACAGACTCACAGCTATTGCTGTGGCTCTACACTTGCCTTTTTCTCAGCCACTGATCTTGATATACCCCTGCCCAACACTTCCCAGCACACATGAGTAAGTTCAAGTCTGCTCTGCAGTTGCTTTCAATTCTATTTTTAATACATTGTTCCTCAGTCTGCGTTAGGATTGTTTAGTAAAAGCAATGTTAAAGGTTTTCTTCATCAGACAGAGATGAATATGCACACACACTGCACTGAACCATGTTATGCAAGAAGGTAGTCAACAGATTTAATGGATGTGCCAATGCTCGCAGCCATCCAGTGCCCACCCTGAATGGACTGGCAGCAAATACCTTTAGAACCACCCCTGCTCAACAAGGATGGGAAAAAAAAAAAAAAAAAGGAGAAAAAAACCAAGAAGGAAAACTCTTCATTTTTTCACCACAATAGAGTTAAGCTGCAGTTACTGCTATAGAAGGGTTTTGCTTAAAGTATTAAAAGTCTTACTCTTATTTTCTCCCTTATGGACTTCAAAAAGTATTTTTTATAATATTCTGCTTTATAAATCCCTGACTATGACTGAAGCTGACTGACTGTAATTAAACATTGACTTACAAGTTCACTATAACATGGAAAATTGTCTTCAATTGCTTTAACTAGAAGAAAAGCTACT